GACAGGCTTGTAAAGTTGTTGCCATTCAGGTTTAGCTTCTCAAGTCTTGAAACTCCGATTAATGGACGTGCATCAAGTTCATCTAATGACACGTTTGCCAGATTTAAACTGATCAGATTGGTAAGTTGCCTAAAAAACTCTAAAGGCATCACTGATAAGGGGTTGTTGGAAATGTCCAAGTAGTTAAGGTGGGGAAGTGGAGGAAATGTGTCATTGGAAGTTTCGGACAATTGAATATTGTTGTTACTTAGGTCCAACCTTTTCAGTTTATTAAGTGGAATGAGTTTAAGAATAAATTGGCTGCTGATTTTGTTAAAACTCACATCTAAGACTTGTAGCTCAGTGAGGTGAGACAGAGTGCCATTAGGCATCCAGGAAATGTTATTACGGCTTAAGTTAAGGTCAGCCAGGGTGTGTAACTTGCGCATTGCTCTTTCATCCACATACTGTAACTGGTTGTAAGATAAATCCAGGGAAGTGACCTCCTTATATGACTCGAGATCATCTTCTGCAATCTCAGTTATTTGATTGTTGCTCAAGTTAAGTAGAAGGACATTGATAACCCCTGTAAGGTTGTGACCCTCGTGGTCACTCAGACTGGGCTTGGCTGAGGATACTTTGTTGTGGCTCAGATTGATATAACTTAAAACAGGGAATGAAAGCTCATGGTTCATACTATCACTAGATGGGACCTTGATGGATATATTGGAAAGACCTAGGCCTGAACAGTCAAAGGCACCCAAACTGCTTCTTGGAGTAACGCTAACATTTTGACAAGTGCAAAACTCTGGACACTGTAGAGGTGGTGATGAGGCATTAATGGTTGGGTGGAGGAGGCTAAAGAGGGATATCACCAACAGGACCTTCACTGAGCCTGTAGTGCTGCTGTCCTGGAGGCATGCACGGAGCAAGCACACCATTTTTTCCACTGATACACATTGCTGGCGTTTGGCTGGAGTCCCACCAGACCTCAAGGATATCTCTAAGTGCTTCACTCCCTTTTTAATCCCCGTTGCAGGGGAGACATCGCTATGGGGCCATGCCCATCTCATGTTCAGAGTTTGCCAATGATCTGCCATCTCTCCTACACATGTGGGAGCAAGGCGGTTTTATCTTGGCAACCCTTCCACTTCCAGTTATATTGCTACCCGAATCGAGGATGAAAGACTTGTCAGTCCTAGCACCACAAACTGTCCAAAAATTGGCATAAGGTAATCTTGACCCAACAACTTGACCTTAAAATAGAGAGACGAAAATGCTATATTATATGGTACATTTTTTAAAATTAAACTAAGCAACTATCTACTGATTGCTCTTTCTTACTAATAAAAAACCACATCTGTATATAAAAAAAAAGTGTGTTCCAAAATAAAATGGTATCTTTTAGCACACTGTTTAACCAGCTGTCAGTGTGAATGTCCAGTTTCAGACCACAGATACCATTTTTAAGTGAGATCTTTAGAGAGTAGAAGAAAAATGAACCCTCTAGGAAACGTGAATCATGTCTCTTATAACAGGGACTTATGAGTGCTGCATTCCTGTCTCACTGACAGTGACAGACTGGTGTGCCTCCATGGCAAGGCACTGAAGTATTAAAGGCTGATCTACTGCAGTATTAAAGGCTGATCTACTGCAGTATTAAAGGCTGATCTACTGCAGTATTAAAGGCTGAGTTACTGCAGTATTAAAGGCTGATCTACTGCAGTATTAAAGGCTGAGTTACTGCAGTATTAAAGGCTGATCTACTGCAGTATTAAAGGCTGATCTACTGCAGTATTAAAGGCTGAGTTACTGCAGTATTAAAGGCTGAGTTACTGCAGTATTAAAGGCTGATCTACTGCAGTATTAAAGGCTGATCTCTTTCAGTATTAAAGGATGATCTACTGCAGTATTAAAGGCTGATATAAGTAGTTTTGTTATTTTTATGTGGTGAAACTACTTCTAATCACTTAGCTATCTTTTTTTTTCTTTTTTTGTAGTTTCCTTTATTTAAATTTAGTCCCACCTAGCCGGGACCCATTTAACAGTATTCATATGCATCGTAGTGGTAGTCTTTTCATTATAATTTATGCATTTTTGACCTACTGAACTTGACCTCTATACTCCAAAGGCCATGGTGGGGGTACATAGGATTCTGACCTCAATATACAATGCAGTGTTTCTTTCTGTGTCATTTTTCACCTTTTGATTTGCAATAGCTTAAAACCGATATATTTTTAAAGGATGCTGGGTTAGCGAGAGATATGTATTCAACAAGATGATTGAAAATGTATTGAGATTGTGAGATTTAAAAACAAGCCAGAAGCTCGTCTATTAAACCGTAGTCACAGTACTCATAAACTATGATAGACCTTGTGCTACATACGCCATACGAGTATAAAAATATTATTAAAATTAATTTACAGAAAAGACGTAATTGCCTTATTCTTACATGCATTTCAACCTACTACTATGCAACCGCAACCATGATGGATGAGTAACGCACCCGTGGTGCAATCAAACAAGTGTAGAGTGCTTTGACTTTGTATTCATAATTCATTTATTATTATTAAAATAAATTGTACCAACTGAAGAAGGGGTAAAAAAATATCTGTACATGCACTGGAGTGATCGAGCCGTGTAATTACCTCACCACCAGGTCGAGAGAAAAATCAATAACACATCACAACTAGTGACACTGGCTTTCTAAACTTTCTTGTTTACAAGCAATAGCCATAGCACAAAAGGGTCGGACAAGACACAGCAGCAGCGGGAAAACAACTATATACCATTATCAACTCAACTTACTGTGATGGGTTAGAGCTACTTGAACCAGTAAACGAAAGGCCCCCGAGAGTCTTGTCTAAAGCGATTTCGAGCAACCCCGTCCCCGAGCCGAGCAACAACACACACACACACTGAACGCCGTGTGTAGTGTCTGTGCTTGTGATGGAGTCCGCCACAAGCTTACCACGTCGGTCGACGCTCAGCGGATTCTGGCCGCATTGGCGTTCCGCGCTGACTTCATTTTTCTCCCCCTTCTTCTTGGTTCGTTGTGGCGTGTCGTTTGTCTCGTCGTCCTACCGTTGACCTTTGTGATGGAGACCGAGAAGAAATGGGGTGTGTTGAGTGACGAGCCGTTGACGAATCGCGATGGTGTTGTCAGAATTGAATCTGATCAACACGTTGTCACCCAAGACCAAATAATCAATATCATCTACAATAATAGTATTATAATCATTGGGCTTTTTAAAATATTTTTTTTAATGGGGGGGGGGGTAGTGAAAGAAGAAAACGGGGGAATAATTAATTAGTTTTTCTATTTGTCGTGCTGCTATCACCTTAGAAATGTGGGACAAAAATTTAAAATATTTTTTTTGAGGGGGGGGGGGGGGGTAGTGAAAGAAGAAAACGGGGGAATAATTAATTAGTTTTTCTATTTGTCGTGCTGCTATCACCTTAGAAATGTGGGACAAAAGCAAAGAGTTAACACATTCTTTCGTTTGCTCGGAAATCCGAGAGTTATTCATCTCAAAGAGACTTCACCCCACCAGTCACGGGGATTATATTTTGTTGTTAGCGTTGTTGTACTTGTCACTACTGGGCCTGTATAAACAAAGCAAGAGCACGGAAAATTATTGACTGATCATTACTGATTGTTACTGGGAGATGCTGTTCAAATGCTTGCCCCGGTGAACGATCATGAGACATCGCCTGACCGGCTCATTTGTGTGTGCACAAACATGGACACTATTGTCACAACATAAACCATGTTAGATTGAGCGTTCTTCTTTAAAGAGGTGGAGCGCAAAAAAAAAAAGGGAGTGGGGGTGGATGTTGAATAAGCCGTCAGGAGATCCCAATCGATATTCGCTCGGCGTTTGTTGCGTAAGACAATGTAGCTCTACGGGCCTGGAGTTATAGATCGTCCATCTTGGTGGATAGACCAGACTGGTGGCCTGTTGCCAGCCACCCCCGACCAGCCGGATCCATGATTTTTATGCTCTTAATTGTCACAATTTTATCATCATTACCAATTACAGTTGTTGATTTAAGCAAATTACGTAACATCAATTTTATTTTCTCCACATTTCGACATAGCATATCCATTAAATTTGTTGGGTATATCTGAAATGTTACGACTGCGGCCTGAGTGACTTGAATGTACAACTCTTCAATCCAACACTTGCTAGAGTCGACTCCCGGACTAACGGTGATATCACCACACGAGTGACGTCGTTCCTCGTGCTGCAATCAAACTTACGTTGGCATGTGTAGTCTGTAATGGCGTCCACAGTTGTGAGCAAGTCTTGTAAACTCATGAGGTCATTCTCATTCAATTTGCGGATTAGTTTACGAACTTGGAGAAAAGATCAATTATTATAATTTTGTTTTTTTTAAATATTTAAAAAACAACCGAGATACAGCCTGGCAGATAAGGCGTCTGTTGACATGTAGTTGCTAAATAGGTTATCAGATAAAGGTGAAATTTGAGTAATTTAGCATCAACAATGGGAAGATTCGTGTCTTTTGTTGAATGGGGCGGGGTAGCTCTATATGTATGCTGAGTGTTGTTGTTGTTGTTTTTTTTTTGTGGGGGAGGGGGGAATGAAATTTTGTGTATAAGTGGTACATGTAACCTGCTGTATGGCAAGATCAAACATGTATCTTCATGGGATGCAAGTTACTTATTGGGTTAAATAAAGGTTTAACAGAATAGCTGCACTTATCCCATTTCTCATTACATTTAAATATGTGAGCTTCAGTATATTTATACAAAAACTATTTAATATGCAGTGTCATACTGCAATGGCAATCAATTTTTAATACTTATCAATCTATAATGCAGAATGGAACACACAAAAAAAAATTACTGGACTGACCTTGACCCCCTTTTTGTTGGGCTCTCCTGTGAGATAGTTAACAAAAACTGTCCAGACATCTTCTTCACAGTTCAGCTCCTCCCCCCACATCTCCAGCAGTTCCTCTCTGGAAGACCGACTTTTGAGATAAAATAAATGGTAGTATTTCAAGTCATTGAAGGTTGCCGCACGCGAGTCTCCCCACCGACCGTTGGGGAACTCATCCCATTCGGAAGTGCGATACACGTAGCTGTTGGGTCGACACCGCCAGAAAATGGGTCGCACTTCCTCATCACATCTGGTGTGGTTCGCACTCTGTTTCCAGGGTAAGGGTCTGTGAACATTTTCTGACCACAAACCCAATCGTTTGAGGACCTCTTTGACCGCAACCTCCCGATTGAGGGTGTAGAAATGAAGGCCGTAGACACCAGCGTTGAGAAGTGTTTTGCACATCTCAACAGACTGGTCAATGCCATATTTTCTGATGGCCTCGTCATTGTCTTTGAATGGCTGAATGGCATTTAAGATTTCTGGTGGCACTTCAAGTTTTGACAGTTTGACAATGTGTCGCAGAGACTGGTAGGCCTTGTTGGATAGAAGAAGAACTTAAATTTTCACATTATGGTCTAAAGGCATTACATTTAAAAAAAATAAAAATGAATTTTTACATTTTGAGTACTGAAAAATTTTGCACCTCACATCCTCAACCAACATAGCTTATGGCAAGGTTCTTGTAATAATAGTAAAATCAGAAATGTAATCTTAATTTCTTTTTAAGTCTATGTGATGTAGAATAAGGGTGCAAATTAAGTCTGTGGAAGAACTCTAGCTTATGTCCACATTCTTTTTCAGTTTATTCTTTTTTTTTTGTACCCTTCCTGGGACAGATCTGAAGCAGTCTTAGAGATGAGACTTTTAAAGAAAATATATTTAAAGACCAACCTGAATTGGCAATATGCCAGGTATGATTGGGACATTAATCCCTATTTTCCTGCAATCTTTGATGTACTTCAGGAATGTTTCAGCTTTAAAGAATAGCTGTGTAATGATGAAATCAGCCCCTGCATCCACTTTCTCCTTCAAGTGTTGGAGATCTTGTTCATAAGACTTACATTCTGGGTGGCCAGTGGGATAACCTNAAGTAATTATGTCAACATTTCTATACCCCTCCCCCATCCCCTTTAAAATGAATTATAATATAAATAAACTATAAATACACTTGACTTTGTGCTGATCTATTTTAATCACTCAGAATGGGGAAGAATATTTTATTGCATCTTTAGCTTGCTAACCAACAAGTAAAAATTGTATATACCGTAACTAACAATTATATAACTATTTTAATTTACACTCATTAAATTTGTCAAAATAATGTAATAACCAGTCAGTTTTTAAGATTATTTTTTAAAAGAAAGATAACATGATTGGTGACTTCAAATAATCTACCCCCCCCACCCCCTTTTTTTCCGCCTTGTCAACAATTGTCAAACATTTCCACCCCCCCCCTACTTTGTTGACATAATTAATGGACGACCCCTTTTGTAATATACCGGTAGTCTGTTTTTCCCACCCACACTAAAATTCTGACTACTGCATATTTGTATCAAAGTTGATTGACTTATAGATAGATTGGGGCAAAAAAAAAGATAGATTGAGGCCACCCAACCAAACGAAAGTCCTTTATCTAATCCTATCTTGATATGAGCGATGGAGCGTCCATATGCTATGTACATGTACTGTGTACACTGGTTTCAGCGTGTAGCATTCGACTCTCCCCAGTGTCACGTGTCAGCTAGTGGGAACCTATTGTTGTGACATTATTCTAGCGCCTAGTTTTATTGCTGTAATGTTAGCTGGTGGCCCCATGGTGTAATATCACACTTCCCCCTCATGTAATGTTAGCTGGTGGCCCCCGTGGTGTAATATCATACCCCCACCCCATGCAATGCTAGCTGGTGGCCCCATGGTGTAATATCACACCCCCACCCCATGCAATGCTAGCTGGTGGCCCCGTGGTGTTATATCACACCCCCACCCCATGCAATGCTAGCTGGTGGCCCCGTGGTGT